TCCCACGGTGGACAGGTGCACAGAGAGATGGGCTGCAACAGAGAGTCCCTGCCCTGAGAAAACATCCTATATCCATTGAACTCTCCAGCTCAGTACCCTTCTAGAGAACCCAGGAAACAGTGAGCCCAATGCTGGCCCAGAGCCCACTGTCCAGGAAGTCACACCCAATGTATGAAGGTTACCTCTTCCAGGAAGTCAGTGTTGAGCCACCACCCAGCCCAAATCCCCTAGACTCTAACCTCCGTAAGAGGAGTAATGGTGCCTGGCATGTCACAGGAGCGTAAGACACCATTTCTAAAATAGTAAATGTTTGCTAAATGAATTACTCACGGTGCTTCCATAAAGCCTAGGTAATTCCATTCCCCAAAATACTGGGTGCCTTTTATGTGCTAGATAATGGGGATAAAATGGTAAACAAAGCAGATATTTGGCCAGACATCATGGCTCACACCTGTAATCCCAGCGCTTCAGGAGGCTGAGGCAGGAGAATCACTCAATGCCAGGAGTTCAAGACCAGCCCGGGCAACACAGTGAGACACCATCTCTACAAAAATACTTTAAAAATTAGCCGAATGTTGTGGTATGGACCTACACGTCTAACGACTTGGGAGGCTGAGGTGGAAGGATCGCCTGAGTCGAGGAGGTCGAGGTTATAGTGAGCTATGATCGTGCCAATGCACTCCAATCTGGGTGATAGAGCAAGATCCTTTCTCTAAAAACAAGCCACCACCACAACAAAAAAACAAAGCAGATGTTTCTCTAAACAAAGCAGGCTTCCTCTAAAGCAGTTATTAAAGGTCTGGCAGCTGACCATCAGCTCTCAGCCCTCTCAGGGGACTTCCTTGGCAGTTCAAGATTAGGCATACCTTGTGGGGGACATATAAAATGACTGATCAATCCTCACCTCCATTCAGGACAATTCTGAAGGATCAGACCAGCTCCCAGGCTCCCCTGGCATTGCAAATCTCCTAGCAGCTGTATATGTGACTTCCTTGCTCGATCAAATGCGCAAGTTCATCCATCTATTTGTCCATCTAGTCACCATCTAATCACCCAAGAGAAGTTTTTATATTAGGTGCTGGGTGAACGAAGTTGAAGAAAATGGTCTCTAACTCAATGAGCTGGGACTCATCCACACATTTGCAACACATACAGCTGTTGCGACATTGTTACAGCTCCATTTCTCTCTCTGTCCAATCACGGTTTCTTCCCCTTCAGTTTCACAGCTGTTGCTCCTAAAGGAATCCCATAACAAATATCCTACTCACTAATCTACACCTTAGCATCTGTTTCCTAGAGAGCCCAGCCTGCATCATCAAGAAGGTTCATATGACAGATGTGCAGGCCTTGTGCCACCAAGATGCAGGTTTAGCACCTGGGGGCACAGATGTCATGGAAGACGGGAGCTAGTTTGTGGGAACGCCTTGCTGACAAGGATGCAAATCCTGGGCTTAAGGCTGTGATCAAGGAGGAAGGGTAGTGAGCAGTGTGCAAACACTTGTGGTTGTTTCAATGGGTGGATGAGTCCCAGCTCACTGAGTTAGAAACCCGTTTCTTCAACTTGGTTCATCCAGCACCTAATATAAAAACTTCTGTTGGGTCATTAGATGATGACTAGATGGACAAATAGATGGATGAACTTACACATTTGGTTGAGCAAGGAAGTCACACATACAGCTGTCAGAGAGACCTGGGTTCCAAGCTAAGCTCCCTCCAAAAGCTGCAGGTGTGAGCAGACAGCCTGCAGTGGTCTGGCACTACCTCATGTGAGAACTGAAGTAGACAATAGGTAGGGAAATGCTTTGTAAACTCTAAAGTGCTATACCAATCTCACCGTCAAAACAGAGGATTCAGTGGGGGTGTGGAGAGGAAGGAGGCATAGACAATAAATGAAAGATGATTATTTGGTACAGGTTAAATTGGTTAACTTGGCTGGGCATGGTGGCTCATGCCTGTAATCCAAGCACTTTGGAGGCCAAGGTGGGCGGATCTCCCTAGGTCGGGAGTTCAAGACCAGCCTGACCAACATGGTGAAACCCCCGTCTTAAAAAAAAAAAAAAAAAAACCTTAAATTGTGTCATTCATGTAAAGTATTAATGACAATGTCCAAATAACAATAATGATAAAAATGGTAATTGCCAAGGTGGGAGGATGACTTGAGGCCAGGAGTTTAAGATAAGCCTGGGCAACACGGTGAGACCTACATATACAAACACAAATGTAAAAAAATCAGCAAGGCAGACTGAGTCTGGGAGTTCAAGAATACGCTGAGTTATGTGTGTGCCACTGTGCTCCAGCCGGGGCAACAGAGCAAAACCGTGTTTCTGAAAATAATAATAATAATAATGGTTCTGGTGCGGTGGTCCACACCTGTAATCCCAGCACTTTGGAAGCCAAAGTGGGCAGATCACCTGTTTTCATGAGTTTGAGACCAGTCTGGCCAGCATGGTGAAATTCCATCTCTACTAAAAATACAAAAAATTAGCCGGGCATGGTGGCACATGCCTGTAATCCCAGCTACTCAAGAGGCTGAGGCAGGAGAATCACTAGAACTCAGGAGGCAGAGGTTGTAGTGAGCAGAGATTGTGCCACCTCTGCACTCCAGACTGGGCGACAGAGTGAGACTCCGTCTAAAAATAAGAAAAAAAAAAAAAAAAAAGATGACAACTATGGCTGGAGGTGATAGTTCAGAAATGCGCATTGGGAGGCCACAGCAGAAGGATCACATGAAGCCAGGAATCTGAGACCAGCCTGGGCAATATAATGAGATCTTGTCTCTACACAAAAAAAAACAAAAGTAATTAGCCAGATGTGGTGGTACTTATAATCCCAGCTATTCAGGGAGGCTGAGGTGGAAGGATTGCTTGAGCCCAGGAAGTTGAGGCTGCAGTCAACTACGACTGCACCACTGCACTCCAGCCTGGGTGACAGAGCAAGACACTATCTCTTGAAACAAAAAAAGGGGAGAGACAAGTAAGCTATTCATGGAGAACTTTGAATAAGAGGTAACTTGTGATCAGCAGCTTGAAAGAAGTGACAGCACGGAAGTTGGTAAGAGAAGAGAAGAGCAACAAGACATTGACACACAAGCCGTGACTCTGCTCTGCTCATCAGACGCTAGGTAAATATAATACCGTCACTGGGAGAGCCCAGCAATGCATGGGGATGCATGCTGTCACCTAACACCCATCACTACGGATGTGGGTGAGAACATGCCTGCAACCAGTGAAGATGAACAGTTGAACAGAAGGCACCAAACTTACAACTGCGGTTTAGAGACTTAATTCTACAGTGGTAAGAAGACTTCAAGCTCATGGAACCATGGTATTGGGTGACAGCTGGTAATGCAAGTCTTGGAACTGAGACAAGACGTCTTTTTCTTTTTTTGTGGCAGGGCGGGTGGAGCAGAGTCTGGCTTCACTGCCTAGGCCTGGAGTGCAGTGACAAGATCTCGGCTCACTGCAACCTCCACTTCCTGGGTCCAAGCGATTCTCCTGCCTCAACCTCTCCAGTAGCTGGGATTACAGGTACGTACCACCATGCCTGGCTAATGTTTTTGTACTTTTAGAAGAGATGCGGTTTCACCATGTTGGCCAGGCTGGACTCAAACTCCTGACCTCAAGTGATCTACATGCTTTGGCTTTTGAAAGTGCTGGGATTACAGGCGTGAACTACCAAGCTCAGCCAAGATTTCTTAAATAATCCAAACTCTGAACTATCCACAGTTTCTTCAGATGTCTCCTACAGCCAATGGGGATTTAGAAAGTACCTGGAGCCTCCATTCTGAGAAAACAGCTTCAGGGGCAGAACCCACACTTGAGAAACCCAGGTTTCAGCTTCAGTTCCCCCGCAGGAAATACACAGACCCTGGGGGACATCCTCCTTCAGGTGCCCACCAGACCTACGGGGCATCCTTATTTCTGAGGGTGATTCCTGGAGAAACAAATGGGAAGTCTGATGACAAGGAGAATAAATTAGAGCCTGGGCTTTGTGCAAACAAGAGTAAGCCATGGGGAGAGATCGCATGGGGAGAAATGCCAGATATAGGTGATGGGAAGGAAGGCAGCAAATCACACTGCCATGTGTGTACCTAGGCAACAATCTTGCATGTTCTTCACATGGACCCCAAAACCTAAAATGCAATTAAAAAAAAAAAAAAAAAAAAAAGAAAGGGATAATAAAGGTGGCTTGGGAAAATCCTTAAACCCAGTGGTGTTACAGAGGCAATTTGCCAAGTGGTACATTGTATCTAGAAAACACTGAGGCCTTTAGGCTATTACTACACGTTGTGGATCTGGGAGCATCTAAAACATTAAGTACGGGGTCTGTCAGAAGTGGCAGGGGGATGACGATTCAAAGAACCGAACTCCAGGGCAGGCTGGGATGCTGTGTGTCAGGTTGAAGTTCACAAGTCACAAAGAAGCAATGACGCTCAGAGCTGAAGCAGACAGGCCTTGCTGCTGAGCTACCTGGGCTGGAACTGAGGCTCCACCACTTCCTTCCCGTGTGACCTCAGGTAGCAGAGCAAGGAGCACTGCCCTGAGGCTCAGGCCTGATCTGCGATATGGGGATAAGGATACAGACCCCTCAGATTGTCTGTCAGGACTGAACATGACCCGTGCAAAGGCCGACACCAGGTTAGTGCTCACTAAGTGCTGGTGGTATTATAAGCATAGGTCCCAGTGCCTCCCTTTCTAACTACACTCCACAAATCCCTAGGAAGTCAAGAGAGCCTCGTGAAGGTGACTCCTGGGAGCCTGATGGAGATGGAAGCTTCAGCAGGAGGACTATAGCCCTATTTTGATCAAAGCAGCGTTCCTTTAACCAGTTATAGGTATAGGGCTTCCATAGATGATTTCAAAAGCCAGTGGAGTTTCAGGGCTTTAGGACAGAAGAAGCACTTTAAATATTCATCCTCTTGTTTCTTAATAATAATAATAATAATAATAATAATAAAGACTCCAGAAAGCAAGGAACTCATCTAAACTCACCCAGCAGGTCAGAGGTAGCAAAAGGGTAGTTGCAACTGCTGGCCCTGAGTCTCCCACGCAGGCAGTTAAAGGCGAGGGTTATTGGATTCGTGATCCGAGGTCTAATCCTCTGGACTCTCACACTATGGACGTGGGGGTTTGGCATCCCAAATGGAAGTCCACAAGTCTTCGCCCCTAGAGACCGGTGAAAAAAAACCAAAGGGATGTCAAGTGGAGGGTCTTGTTCCAGCAGAAAGGAATGAGTCCCCGACTTCCCTAAGAAGAGATAGTCTTCACCAGACCCACATCTGGAGCTGCGACGGGCTGGGCTGGACAGGGAAAGTAAGCCCTGGGGTCCCTAGAGGGCTGATACTCCAGGAACTCTAGAGGCATCAAAGAAAACCTCAGATTAACAAGCGCCAGAATTGAGAGGTAAGGAAGTAAGGAAAAGAACCCGTCCCTTCCTTGTCAAGAATTCATGCCTCCCAGCAGACTACAGGGTCTTACCCAAAGTCACAATGCATGAGTCTCCACCTGCCTAAAAGGTAGGCCCACCCAAGCAGTTACGTGACTTCTCCCCAGGCAAAAGGAGAGAGGAAGAAGACTTCTCAGAAGGGTAAATGCTCTCAAGTGACCACAGGTCAAACGTCAACTGAAGCATCAGCCCAGGAGAAGGAAGGAAACTCCAGCATCAAAGAAAAAAAATCCATCCCCCTCACAGCCACTCATCTCCAGCCTCCTGGGTGCTGGGTACTAGTGGGTTTGTCACGTGGTCACTCATCCTGAAAAGCCACCTCATGTCCTGGAGCAACAGATGGGCAGAATGAGGCTGAGAGAGCTTACCCAAGGCAGAGCCAGACTGAATGCGTACTGCACACACTGTTCATAGCAAGACCTGGGTAATCAGGCTTTACCAAGTTCCTCTCGCTTTTGCGCAAATCCTTTCAAATAGAAATCTTTTTAAGAAAAAATTCAGTCTGTAAGAGGATGATTTTATTCAACAAGAAAGTTATGAATTCCCCAGCATGGGGGGCGGGGTGCAAGGAACAGCAATTTCACCATCGGAAATGCTACAGAGGGAATTCTGCTCTTGAGAAGGATTGGAAGAGATGACCCCTGAGGCTTCTTTTAACACTGGGATTCTGCAAATGTCAGTTGAAATCCTAACTCCCATCCTTTTATTCCCTTTAGTTGAATGTAGGCATTTCTGGAAACCCAAACCTGTAAGTTCCACTCTTCCTTGGTGACAGCAAGGATCTTTAAGAGCCATCCTGGCTTTTCCCTGCTAGCCTCAGCCTTCCTGCAGAGGAAGGTTCCAGCTGAAGAGTTGGGCAGGGCTCCAGGGGCTCAATGTCAGACGGGCAGAGACAAACAGAGCTAGAGAAGCCTCCAACCCCACAGGATGTGGTGAGTGAAGCACAAGACAAAACGAGAAAAAGCCATCTAGAAACACAACAGCCCCACAAATAAAGAGACAACACGAAAACACAGGGACTTTTTTCTTCTCTTCGTTTTTCAAGCTAGGAAACCCAAAAATAGTTGAAGGAGCTGTAATCTCAAGCTTTCTGAAGAAAAAAACACTGCCTAACTCAGAAGACAAATCTAGAGGGACAACCGTTAAGTTTGAAGTCATAAAGACCACAGTGATTTCATGCAGAACCCCACGACGTGAAGAGCAGAGTGTTGCAATACCAGCCTCCAAACTCAGGGGCCAGTGTGCTAAGCTGAATTTCACACAAAGGCTTAATGCCGAAGCTCACTCATTTTAAGGCTGCGTCACAACTGGCTCAACTTGAAGGCGTCCACATGGAAAAGTAACGAAGCTGGCTTGGGGAGCAGCCAATGTCAGCATTCCCAAAGAGAGTTGGTAAACACACAGATGGAAAACAAGAAAATCTCCCTCACTAAGGATAAAAAATCGATATAAATCTAACAAGAGACCATTTTGCACCCATTGAATGATAATTTTTTTCAGCTAATCACACCCAGTGTTGATGAGGTTGTGGTGAAACTGGCATGTCCGCATGTTGATGGAGGCAGCATCGACAGCCCTAGTTGAAAGTAATTTGGCAATGTGGGTCATGAGCCATGAAATTGTGCTCTTTGACTCCATAATCCTTCTGCTGAGAATCTGTCCAAAGGATTTTCCAAGAAGAAAGAGTTATATGCACGGGGATGCTCGTGGCACCCTTAGACGTGAAACAACTACTAGGCACTTTAATTTTTAACAACAGAGGACTGATTGAGAATATGACTTGCCAACTTGACGAATCATTATACACTCTTTAAAAATGACCATTTGTTAAGAACATATGGACACAGGGAGGGGAGTATCACACACTGGGGTCTGTGGGGGAGAAATAGTGGAGGGAGAGTGAGGGGCAGGGAGTTGGGGAGGGATAACATGGGGAGAAATGCCAGATACAGGTTTCGGGGAGGAAGGCAGCAAACCACACTGCCATGTGTGAAACTATGCAACAATCTTACATGGTCTTCACATGTACCCCAAAACCTAAAATGCAATTAAAAACCAAAAAGAGGCCGGGCGCGGTGGCTCAAGCCTGTAATCCCAGCACTTTGGGAGGCCGAGGCGGGTGGATCACGAGGTCAAGAGATCGAGACCATCCTGGTCAACCTGGTGAAACCCCGTCTCCACTAAAAATACAAAAAATTAGCTGGGCACGGTGGCACATGCCTGTAATCCCAGCTACTCAGGAGGCTGAGGCAGGAGAATTGCCTGAACCCAGGAGGCGGAGGTTGCGGTGAGCCGAGATCGCGCCATTGCACTCCAGCCTGGGTAACAAGAGCGAAACTCCGTCTCAAAAAAAAAAAAAAAAAAAAAAAAAAAAAAAAAAAAAAACAAAAAGAAAAAAAAATGACCATTTGTAAGATGCTTTAATAAAATGAAAAAAAATGTTTAGGACAATTATAATAAAAATGTTTTAGTTTTAGGATTTTAAAAAACCTGATTACAAACCATTCCCTACATCTATGACTAAAATCATTAATTAATGCATAGCAAAAACATATCCGATATCTGAAAACAATCTGATTAGTCAAGGAAGAATTACTGATTCTGTTTTCTCACCTGTGTCTATTCTTTGGAATTACAATGCTGTGTGTGTAATCAACGACATCAATAATGACGATGGGCTGGGCACAGTGGCTCGCGCCTGTAATAGCAGCACTTTGGGAGGATGAGGAGGGTGAATCATCTGAGGTCAAGAGTTTGAGACCAGCCTGGCCAATATGGTAAAACCCCATGTCCACTAAAAAATACAGAAGTTAGCCCCATGTGGTGGCACTCGCCTGTAGTCCCAGCTCCTCGGGAGGCTGAAGCAGGAGAATTGCTTGAACCCAGGAGAAAGAGGTTACAGCGAATTGAGATTGTACCACTGCACTCCAGCCTGAGTGAGAGCGAGACTCCGTCTCAAAAAAAAAAAAAAAATTAGTAACAACGATGACAATGACATTTTATTGGAAAAACTTCAGTAATGTATAAAATTAGGATAAAATTCTGGGGAACTGGAAGTGGAATTCAGAATATGAGAAAGGATCAAACTTAGAGGCATTTGAGCACCCAGTCAAAGAAACACAATCTCTCATCAGACAACGAAAACTAGAGGCCCCAATGGGGTCATATATTAGCAATGTCAGCTATCCAGGCCCCTCGGCACATCCGGCCCTATCTGATTATCTCAGCTTTGTGAGATTCAGTCTTCCTCCTCCACACTCGGCCCCAAGTGTTCAAAGAGGAACAGAAAATCCCAATCTGTGTATATTTAACTGCCCAATCCTTTGAAAACATAAAGCCTTCCTGAGAGGCCAAGAAATAACTTAAATACTGAATTTCCTCAACTATCTCTTCTCAAAAAGGCACCTTGGGTCAGCTTCTATACATAGCACTGGAAGTAATGAAGAACTTTAGTTTCCCATCCGGTGGGACCTAGTTGGGATTTCCAGTGTGGACCACAATCCCAACTGTCCCCACTGAAAGTCCAAACGGGGGTGGCCAAGGCAAAGGCAGCCCTTTGGAATCACAGGGGACCTAAGTCTACTTCTGACTCCAAAACTACCAGCCCTGTGCCTTTGGGCATGTTATTTTACCCCCAGGACCTCAGTATTCACACCCACAAAATGGGGACATTTCAGAACTTTCCTCCTAGTGGCATGGTGAGGATTGCGTGTGGCTCCTGGTAGTAGTCGATACACACTAACTGGTGGCTCTCTCCATTATTCTAATTTCCTAGGTATTCCAGTCACTGATTCGTCTCCCAGGTCTTCAGGAACCATGGGTGCACACATGGCAAGGAGGGCACACAGGTAAATGACTAAATGCAGCTCAACAACCAGGCATGGTGGCTCACATCTGTAATCCTGGCACTTCGGGAGGTCAAGGCAGCAAGATTGCTCGGAGTTCAAAACCAGCCTGGGCAACATAGCAAAACTCTATCTTACAAAAAATATATACATATATAAAAACTTAGCTGAACAAGGCCAGGAGCAGTGGCTCATGCCTATAATCCCAGCACTTTGGGAGGCCAAGATGGGCAGATCAGAAGGTCAGGAGTTTGAGACCAGCCTGACCAACATGGCGAAATCCCATCTCTACTAAAAATACAAAAATTAGCTGGGAGCTGGGCGCGGTGGCTCATACCTGTAATCCCAGCACTCAGGTGTGAGCAGAGGCGAGTAGATCACAAGGTCAAGAGATCGAGACCATCCTGGTCAACATGGTGAAACCCCGTCTCTACTAAAAATACAAAAAATTAGCTGGGCATGGTGGCGCGTGCCTGTAATCCCAGCTACTCAGGAGGCTGAGGCAGGAGAATTGCCTGAAACCAGGAGACGGAGGTTGCCGTGAGCCGAGATCGCGCCATTGCACTCCAGCCTGGGTAACAAGAGAGAAACTCTGCCTCAAAAAAAAAAAAAAAAAATTAGCTGGGCGTGGTGGCGGGCACCTGTAATCCCAGCTATGTGGGAGGCTGAGGCAGGAGAATCACTTGAACTGGGAGGTGGAAGTTGCAGTGAGCTGAGACAGCATCACTGCACTCCAGCCTGGTGACGGAGCAAAACTTCATCTCAAAAAAACAAAAAACGTAGCTGGACAAAATTTTTTTAAATATCCAACTCAACCTTGGCTGATATTAGGATCACCTGGGAGCATCAAAAAGCCGCAGACTCCCCAGTCCTTC